CCCCAAAACCCCAAAACCCCAAAACCCCACTCTGATGAGAGTTATCAAAAGTAAGAGCTAATGTAATTAAAATAAATTATTTCCAAAAAAAATGAGACAAAAATATTTGATCATTGTAGTGTTATAATTCCTTATAAGAACTACAATTCAATTAGACACTTACTCAGAGTCTTTACTTATTTATTAATTGGCTAACAATTTCTACATTAACAACTTCACGTTTAATTATGAATTAGTATCTGAGAAAAGCAAAAGCATCTTGAAAAGATTAGATTACTTCCCTATCTAGTTTGAAAAGTTCTTGCATCTTAATCCTGAATTAAAAAGTATTGAGTTGGATTTGGTTTAAGGAAGATTTTAAGAGAATGCTTTAAAAAAGGTGACATAGTTTTCTAATTAACAATATGATTTGCCAAATTTCAAATACAAAGAACCAGGACTCACGATGAAAATGTAAATGAGAAATAATGGGGTAATGAGTGAAGAGCTTTAAGAGAAAACGTATGGCTTTTTGTCTTCAATATTTTCCCTTGGAATATTTGAAAAGAGAGGAGATCAAATGAAATTAACAGATCAGGAAGGTTATTCGTTCTATTATTATTCAAAACCATATGAACCATATTGCAAAGAAAATTTACAATTCCTGCTTAAGCATCTTAGAAGTACTGTATTTGAAAGTGGTATCTCAAGTTTGTTAAATGATGATACCTATAATCTCAGTCCTTACAAACATTTAAGTGTTAAGATAGAGCATAAGCCAGACACTAAAGCAATGATAATTAACTTTGACGTTATATATATGTCTTAAAATGTTGATAAAAAGAATAGCTTGGAATCATTACTATAGATTAAAGGTGATTATAAAATTATTAGATGTGCAGTATGTACTGATTCTAAGATATAGCTCGCAACTTAAGATAATAATAATCATAAGACTTTGTATAACTTTAAAGAGGTATCTTTAACTGAGGCCTTGCCTTTGAGAATGATTAAATATGACAAAAATATTTACTCAGATGTCGAACTTCAAGTAAAGCAGATAGAGTCGGAGAGATATGTTTCAGACTTACATTTTGCTAAGGAAGGTACATTGTTTCACAAAATCAAGAATAACATGAATACTGATTAAGCTGATTTGGTGATTTAGGAGTATCTTCCAAATTTTCTTAGACCTTTTATACACACTGCAAAATACTTCATCAAAGATTTGGAATCAGGAAAAGTAATAGAAAAAAGATTAGGGGCTACTTAGTTAAGTATTGAGTACGATGAAATGTCAAGTAGTATAATCAAGATAAAAAATTTGCAGATTCCTGCATAATCAGAGATACTTATAAGTATTAGAATTAGGAAACATCTGAATATGTTCGAAGATTACCCTAATGATCCTAATAGAGGATTTAATATACCTCAAATGCCCATATTATTCAAAGCAGCTAATCAGAGCAAATGGAGTGAGACCTACAGTAAGTCACTTTTAGTTCAAACTATTGAGCCTGATTTTAGCATGCCTTTCAATGTGAATGCAGTGACTAATGCTCTTCTAGGCTTTATGATTATTAACACTTTTAATACTGTTGTAAAAGCCAAGAGATTTGTGTGAATTAGAACAGATTTAATTAAAAGTTATTTGATTATTTTTTATAATCAGGTATTAGTTAAAAGTATAGAGAGTCGATAACTAGAAATTTCAAAAAATTTATTCACAATTTTCTATCCCCTGATTAGCCATTATTTTCTTCTTCTATGTATTTCTTTAGCTCCCTTCTAGTAATACAAGTAAGTATTCCAATCACTGTGATCAAGAATATGCTGCCTATAGCCATCAGATATGTTTCATATTTATGAAGACCACTATCCTTATCATTTATCAAACTTATTAAGGTAGCTGTACTTGCTCCTAAATAGATATAAACGCAAGCAGGGAGGATGAAACCATTATTTCCGATTATGTAATATTTCATAGGCACTATTATATTATTTCTAGCAAAAAATAAAATTATTTACAATCAGTAACACTCAAGCAATAGTTGATGATTGCATAAGGCAACACGAATGAGCATCTTAACAAGAAGGTTATGTAGGCACCATGCTTTTTGACTGCTCTATTGATTCCAAAGAAGTATTTATTTTAAATTGATCTTTAACTATATTTCGAGAATGTTTGTAAGATAAAAGAAACCATTGATAATATTACTAGATAAAATCTCTGAACATATATCTGCCAATGATGAATGTCTCAATGAAAGTCAGATGCATCAGAAAGAAGTTATAGATAAACATTATGATCATGCCCTCTGATGTTTAATGATAAATCATATCAATAACTTACAGTAATACCCGAAAATTTATGAGAAAATGTATGAGCCGAAAAGTAAGAGAAGTAAGGGAGGTAGAGTTAATGGAACTCCCAATAGATAGAGTAATGTAAGATATGTAAATCCCTTAATTGGATTTTGAATGGCCCATTAAGCTAGACTACTAACGTCGGAACTCATGCTTTCATTGACTAGATACACAATTATCAAGACTTTAGACTAAAATCAATTTATAATGCAAGATTACAATTATCAAAATTAGAAACACAAGCAAAGGCAATCTGATGGATGGCGGTGCTTTTAATTTCTCTGACTGCTCTGACAAACTAGATTTGATATCTGGTTCATCACTTCTCATTTTCTGATCATTGATACCTATTGACAAAGTAAAGTGAGAAATTAGAGTGGTTACTTTTTGATTCCTCAACTATTTCTATCTAGTGATCCATTTTATAAATTCCCTAGAATTCTTATTATAATTTAAAAATTTATCGTTGCTAACATTGCATCAAAATTTATCAAATGGGGTTTTGGGGTTTTGGGGTTTTGGGG